CTGTCCGTGTGTCCATGTCTCTGTGTCTGTGCGTCCCCATCTGTGTGTCCGTGTGTCTGTGTGTCCATGTGTCCCTGTCTGTGTCCATACGTCTGTGTCCGTGTGTCCCTGTCCGTGTGCCCCGTCTGTGTTTCTGTGTCCCTGTCCGTGTGTCCGTGTCTTTGTGTCTCTCTGTCCCCATCTGTGTGTCCGTGTGTCTGTGTCCATGTGTCCATGTCCCTGTCTGTCCCTGTCCGTGTGTCCATGTCTCTGTGTCTGTGCGTCCCCATCTGTGTGTCCGTGTGTCTGTGTGTCCATGTGTCCCTGTCTGTGTCCATACGTCTGTGTCCGTGTGTCCCTGTCCGTGTGCCCCTGTCTGTTTCTGTGTCCGTGTGTCTGTTTCCTGTCTGTGTCCCTGTGTCCATGTGTCCCTGTCCATGTGTCCCTGTCCGTGTGTCCGTGTCTTTGTGTCTCTCTGTCCCCATCTGTGTGTCCGTGTGTCTGTGTGTCTGCGTGTCCCTGTCTGTGTGTCCCTGTCCGTGTGTCCACATGTGTGTCTGTGTCCATGTGTCCCTGTCCGTGTGTCCGTGTCTTTGTGTCTGTGCGTCCCCGTCTGTGTGTCCGTGTGTCTGTGTCTGTGTGTTCCTGTCTGTGTGTCCCTGTCTGTGTGTCCACATCTGTGTCTGTGTCCATGTGTCCCTGTCCCTGTGTCCGTGTTTGTGTCCCTGTCCATGTGTCCCTGTCCATGTGTCTGTGTCCATGTGTCCCTGTGTCCATGTGTCCCTGTGTCCGTGTGTCCCTGTCTGTGTTTCGGTGTCCATGTGTCCATGTCTGTGTGTCCCTGTGTCCTGTCTGTGTCCCTGTGTCCGTGTGTCCCTGTCCCTGTGTCCATGTGTCCTGTGTCCTGTCTGTGTCCGTGTGTCCTGCTGTCCAGGTGTGCTGTCCATGCCCCAGCAGGACCCCCCTCCCCAAGCCGTGGCCACACCCGGCGGTGCTGCAGTGACCCTTGAGCCGGGGTTGAAGTCTCTGTGAATGATTAACCTGCAGGCTTTAGTTACACACTCCATTTCTGCAGGGCTCGTTACCAGGCTGGCACCTTCGTTAAGCCTTTCCATTTTCCCGCTTCATTAAAATTTCCCATTTCAGCCCCTTCGTTAAGGTTTCCCATTTTGCCCCCATGTGTTCCATTGACTGGAAATCGTAAACACGTCTGTACAAATAAATAAAATCAGATTGTATATGAATAATTTCTGAAAAATGCATGGGAATGTACTAAGTTTAGTACCCCGTACTAAAGTTTACTAAGTGCACTAAGTTTAATACCTTGCCTCCCAAAATGAAATTTAATTGAAGTTTGTGCACATTTGGAACCCTGAAAATTGGGAGGTTTTTTCCTCTCTTGTCTATGCTGCTTGATTTTTAGTTTTTATCTAGATAGGACTCATAGTTTATTAGGGTTTGTCGAGTTGAAAGCAATTTTGTAAATACTGAAAGGTATTCCATCATTGTTTATGTCAGAGTGCAATTTCCCTGCCTTAGGAAGAGGACATGAGCTGTTTACTGTGTCTCGCTGTACAGGTGAGGGATGCACACTGGATGTCCGGCCGGCTCCTGCAGGAGCCCTGCTGCCCTGCAGTCCCTCCTGGTGCTGCTCCACGAGCGGGGCTGTCTGGCAGCTCTCCACACCGTTAGTAAATATTGCCCTTATCTGATGCAGCCAGCCTGGCAAGATATGCCTGCAGCCCGGATTGGATTGCTGGCTACTGCTGTATTAATCAATGTAATCATTTATTTTTAGTTTTAGAAGTCATATCATCTGTTTTCTTTCTCATATTACATTTTCTGTGGTGCTGGTAGAGAAAATGAGCCCTGTTTAAAAATTAAAGGTGACTGAAAAGTTTCAGTGGAATATGTTTGGCACTGTCATGGTTTCCCTGACAGCTGATGAATGTTTCCTTAAAAATGCTTTTGTCAGAAATTTGAGAGGTATAAAGAGTTTTATTTAAATTAGCTCTCTTCAAAACTATACATAGAAAGATATTTCCATCTTTTTAATAATTTTAATGAAGCGAAGTTCTCTAGTTATATATTCCTTATTTAAACTCAAAGCTCCTAGCCTGTACTTCAGTGTTTAATCTGAGATACTTAGTCTTAGAAAAGGAGCTATTTGGCCTAAACCTTTAGAGAAAATAAGGCATTTTAGAGTAGCCAGACAGTGAGTGCTGCTTGTAGAAGGGGTATTGCTTGGTTTTGAGGTAAGTGTTGGGTTTTTCATTTGGGTTTTTTTTTTTTTGCATATGACAATCTAAAAGTAGAGAAACAAATTTCTTTTTCCAAGTGCATCAGTAAGCTGGGGAGAGAAGAAAAAAAACCCCAAAAAACAGAAGGATAAAGTAATATGAGCATCACATGAAAGGAAGCAAAGCTTTGAGGTCAGAATTACTTGTCTGATGACCAGACAGGAAAGCTGTGAGAGAGCAGAGAACCAAGGGCAGCTCTCAAGCCTGAGGTTCTCGTGTTGTCTCTGGGCTCCTGGTGGGATCTCCGTGGAGCAGCAGAACCTGGCCAGAGCCAGCAGAGCAGGAGTGGAGGTGAATCTCAGCTGCTGAGATTCCCCAGGTGTGTCAGCAGTGCCACAGGTGCCAGCTCAGCCGGGCAGTGCCAGGCTCAGGGGGCACAGGGCAGTGCCCCCGTCCTTCAGAGCTGCTCCTGGGGCTCTGTGCCCTTGAGGAAGGCAGGCCTGCTGGGCAGGGCAGGAGCAGGGTGAGCTGGAATTAAAGATGTGTGTTCCTGCAGACACGGGGTCGGTGGGGCTGGCCTGGGGTGCATCCTGCCCTGGCTCGGGTGCTGAGCCCGCCTTGTGCAGCCAGAGGGGCTGGTCAGAGCTCGCTGCTCCTTAAAGGAAGAGCGATTAATTGGGCAAGCCAGGAGAGCCGTGCCATGCTGGTGAGCAGGATGTGTGCTCCAGCTGACAGACACGCTGTGGGGCTGGCAGCCTCGTGGCACAGCCACGGAGATCTCTTGAACATTCCACAGATGCTTCTGAACGCAGAGGAGCGATGTGACAGATTCGAGTTCTTTTCCAAGTTCTGGAAAGAAGCATTCTTCCTTTGGGAAAAGAGGGGCCTTTTTCTTCCCTTTTTCCTCAAGTTTGACTCATTCTGCTCCATTCCTGCTGCCAGCCTTTCCGCTGAGGGCTTTGCACCACCCTTGTTCTGGTCTTGCTCTGCTCTCCTCTTCCCACTGCTCTTGCAGCACGTTGAAGCTGTGGCTGTGTTTGTGGTGTTTTCTGCCCAGCCCTCTCTGCTCTGAGACACAGCTCAGCCTCTCCCCACCTCAGACACTGGTTTCAGGGGGTCTGCACATCCCTTAGGTCTTTGCCTGCCTGTGCTGTCTCATTTTTCCCCCTAACACAAGTCATTTTCACTTCTCTCTGCCTTCTGGTTCTATTTTTGCCAAAGTGAGAACTTCATTGACACATTTATTGTGGTTTGACTTTGATCCCTCTGTGTTTGAGTGGGAGGATCCTGCTCCTTGTCTTTTGATTGCCCCGATCCCTGCAGGAAAGGCCAAACAGGATGGCAAAGTCCTTTGGATCACTGGATGGGCCATTTCTCAGGTGCTCTCTGGGGATGGCACACATGGACCTGTGCAAAGGCAGAGCTCCCAGGTGTTGGAATGGCTTCATTTGGGATGGAATTTGAAGGTTTGCGTGAGCGTGTTGGAGCTGTGGGTTTTTCTAAATGTGCGACCAAATCTGGTCAGACTTCCTTGAGGAGGGGAAAAGGAATTTTCCATGCACAAGCCATCCCACATACAAATGCTAAGCCCACATCAGGGAACGTGGATGGTCTGGAGCATTTCCAAGGAGAGGCACCAAAACCTTAAATAAAAGTGTCATTTTTCTAGCTTCATCTGGAGAGTGGCTGGAACCCTGGTGAACAGGATTTTCTGTGAAAATCAGCTTCAAGTGAAGCAGGCAGTAGAGAAATCATGTTGTAGGAGTTTCAAACTTAGTTGGAAATCACAGAATAATTGGGTTGGAAGGGACCTCTGGAGATCATCCAGTCCAACCTGCTGCCAAGGCAAGGTCACCCTGAGCAGGGGACACAGGAGCGTGTCCAGGTGGGTTTGGGCTGTGGCCAGAGAGGGACACTCCGTGACCCCTGGGCAGCTGTTCAGTGCCTGCCACCCTCCATGGAAGGAGGTTTTCCTGGTGTGGAGGTGGATGAACTCAGCAGCTGGGCCTTTCCAGGGCTCTGGGGCAGTGCCTGGTTGGTCTGCAGACCAGGGTAGGTCTGTGGGATCATGGCTGGTCTGTAGGATCGTGGTTGGTCCATAAGGGTGCCATGCAGCTCTCTTCATACCAGAGAAGATAAGCCACCATCAGACCAGCCCCTGAGCTCTGGGCCAGCACTGCTGGGTCAGCCCTGAGGATCAGGAGCAGCTCCAAGGTGATTAGGATGGATTGCTTGTTGTTCTAAGAGGGATTTGGGTTTTTTTCCTTAACAAACCAGTCCTTCATTTGTAGCTGGGCTGGGTGTTTACATCCAGATCCTGAAATGAGGGATATTTCTCACTCTTCTCCTGAACTGCAGGGGTGAAACGATCACTTGTTACTGTGAATATTTGTTGCTATATGGCCCAATTTGCACAGCTTCTTGCATAAGAGTATCCCAGTAGAGCAGGCAGTGGTGGTGCTGGGAAGGGAGCCCTTGTGCAGACTGCAGGGAATGTGGCAGTAATGGAAACAATATGGAGTAAGAGCATGTTTAAAGAGTCAATTTTAAAGGCTGGGATAATTGTGCAAGAAACTTGGCTTCAGAAACGTGTAAGGGAAGGAATCTTGAGGCAGCCAAATAGGCCGTGAAGAATCCATACAGCTTTTCTGGGGTTTTACAGGAGTCCCTGTTTAACTCTTTCTGTGCGCTCTGTGTGCAGAGCTGCCCCACCGAGGGCAGCTGTTCCTGGCAGCTACGAGCCTGTCTCCCAATTAAAGGTGTTTTTCTGCTTTGTTTCAGCCCTGGAATGAGATCAGATGTAAGCTCTTCTCCATCCACAACCTCAGCAACTACGGGACCACCTCCCAAGCTCTGCCTGGTGTGCTCCGACGAGGCCTCCGGGTGCCACTACGGTGTCCTGACGTGTGGCAGCTGCAAAGTGTTCTTCAAGAGGGCAGTGGAAGGTAGGACCTGCTTGGATTGCAGTTAGCTGCTTGTAAATGGAGGATCCCCACGCACATCATGCGTTTTCAAACCCAGCAGCCGTGGTTTTTCCAGAATCCTCCTGAACAGCCCATGCGTTAGATCAGTGATCTTGTCATAGTAAATCACACTGATAATGGTGCATTATGCAAAGCATGGATTCCATTCACATTGATGAAATGCTCCCATTCACTCTGGGTAAAAGAATTTATTGTTGTTTTGGCTTTTGTCCCTTTCATTTTCTTTCACTGTTGTTTTTGTTTATTTGTCACATTTTTATACAGATATTTGTCTGTGTGCAATAGATTTGTAAAGTGTGTGATTTTTCAATTTATGGTTAGTTGGTTTGTGTAGAAAACTTACATGGAACTTGGTAAATCTGTTGTGTGTGAGGTTATTGTCATTTTCCTGTAAACAATGCTGGTTGAATTGCATCCATGTCCCTGGGTGTTATTTGCAGGGACACTGGGTACCAGGGACGTGTGTGGGATTGGATCACTGGGATTTCTGTCTAGTTGTGATTACAGAAAACCATTCTGGAAAGCAGAGATGGTGGAAAACTAATGTGAATAAGGACTGTGTGATTTTTGGGTGCATCAGTAGCCATTTTGTGAGGGACTAGGTTGTACCTCAAGATCTGACCGTGCTTCAGTATCACATGCAGGAAAACTGGAGCATATTCCCAGTGTTTCTGGGAAGATGGTGATTCCTCAGGTCTGAAGAACACTGTTCTTAGTTCTGGCCCTCGGGGTTTCCTGTCTTGTGCCTTCCTCGTGCAGCCCCTCTGAACCAGGCTCTTTCTGCTGACTTTTGTGCACGCTGGGGTTGCTGGAGGAGAGGGAGGCTCTTTGACGGAGACAAGCCACCATTCAGTGCTCAGAAGCAGAACTTCCCCCAGTTCCTGGCTCACCAGGGGCCATGGGAGCTCCATGGAAGGGCAGAGCCCCTCGGAGGGATCAGGAAAGTCAGGTTCACATTGTGCTTTCTGCTGGTCACAAAGGGGTGTTGGCTCTGTGGCAGCTGAAGTACAACAAGGCAGTATGAGCTCAAGTGCAGAGCAAATAATCATCTGTACCTTTGATTAAAACATGGTCACCAGAGATCCCTCAGGAGACAGTTTATAAGGCAGCTGGACAGGTGCCATAGCCATGGGTTTGCCTGCTCTCAAGCTTAAATAAATCACCAAAGTATTGATACAGGAAGGAATCACCCCAGTGATTCCTTTTGGGTTTGACACACCAGAAATCAACTGTCTTGAGATTAAAAATGTAAGCAGGCTTGTGGCAATCAGTTCCTCGAGGCTCACCTCTGCTTCCATTTTGACTGTGCCACAAATTATCCCACTTCTCACAGAATCCCAGAATCACTGAGGTTGGAAAAGACCTCCCAGTTCATGAAGTTGAGCCTTTGATCGATCACCACCCTGTCAGCTGGGCCCCAGCACCAAGGACTGAGCACCCTGAACCCTTCCATCCTATGACATGGATGTTTGCAGGACTGCTTCCAGGATCTCTTAGTCCTAGTCCTCACTTTAAGGAACAAATAATTTGGTTTTGTCTTTTATAGGCATTTTTCTTATTAGGAACATATGTAAAAAGAATTTGTTTCTGCAATATCCTTTCTATTAGTGGCTGCCAGGCACCTGTTAGTGCTCGGATCAAGCTGACTCTGCACACTCATTATCCGGCCTTTAGCCAAAGCCCTTCTTTCCACCTTTGCCTCCAGGCCTGTGTACTGTGACAGAAATAGTCACAGAATCTGGAAGTGTCAGTGTCTAGGAAGTCAATATAAAGTGCATCTTTTCAGCAAAGAGTAGAAGCAGAGGAGAAGAGGAAGGGTGAAGGTGGGACAGCAGCTGTCGATGTATGTGCAGTTCTTCAGGCAGACAGCCTTTCTTCAGGAGCCCAGGCTGGCCACAGATAGCATTTTCTAGTTCTGATCTCGTGGTGTTCCAGAGCCCAGAGCCCTCATGAGGGAGTTTCTCCAGCCCCAGCCCTGCTCAGCTCCCAGCCCTTCACCCATGTACCAACCTGGATGCTCCCAGCTCCTCACGCCTCCCTCCCTGCAGCCTCCCCAGCACCTCTCCCTCCTGCTCTGCTCCAGATCAGCCTTCTTTGTCAGCAGTTTCCCTTCCATCTCCCCAAGTCCCTTGTCTGCAATTCCCAACCTTTTTTAGGCTGCTGTGCTCACATGGGCACGGAGCTGTTGGTGCCACGCTGTGTCAGAGCCGCGGTGCCAGCAGGGCTGTGGGCAGCATGGGGATGGGATGGGATGGGGATGGTGATGGGGATGGGTTGGCCAGCCTCTGAGAAACGTCCCTGTGTGCCCCAGATCCCCCTGGAAACTCCTGCCTTGGCTCACTCCTGGTTTTTAGCAGTATTTGGGGAGTGTCTGGGTTTGAGCAGCAAAGAGAACTGGAGCATGTTCCTTTTGCTGCTGGCACAGCCCTGGGCAGCAGGAGGACCAAGTGCACCAAGATCCCTTCATTCTCCCCCAAAATGGTCTTGTGACAAGAGGCTTTGCTGCAGCATAACACAAAGAAATCGTGTAGCTTGGTCCTAGAAAAGGCAAGAGCTGGTGAGCAGTAAACACAAGGAACCAAGCATTCGTGGAGAGGAAGCTCTTTGTTAGGAGCAGAAGGGAGCAGCTCGGGAGCATCCTCCCCTGAAGTGCCTGTATTGAGGGGTGAAACTGGTCTCACCAGACAGCGTGGAGGGACGTGGAGCTGTGGTCCCTGCTCCACTGCAGTGCTGGGCATCAGCTCATGCTCTGTGTGTTTCTGTGTGTTAGGATGCTAATGGCAACCAGATCGGTGGGTGCAGGATCTGTTGTCTGAATTAATCACACACAAAGCTGGCACAAGGGTCAGGAAGGCTCCTCTTCCCTGAGTGCAAGAGGTGGGGGGGTCATTCAGAAAAACATTCTTTGGAATATCAGCTTGAGGCGCTTCACTGGAGAAGTTTGGCCAAAGCCATAGGAATGAACTCTGCATGCCCATAATTTTCACAGCTGACTTGTAAGAAATTCCTTCTCCAAGCTGTTTTCCTGTGAGAAAACTCTTGGACTTTGTTGTGAATAATTCAGTATTCGGAAAATCTGTGTTTGTTTCTCTCAATATTGTACTGTCAGTACTTTGCAATACAGAGTAAAAGCCCAGGCTGCAGCTTTCTGCCCTCTGGAAAAACATGCTCCTTGACCCCTGTCTGGGAGAAGGATCTATTCTTTGGTAATACCTTTCCCTAAATAAGTTACTTTCAGACATTCATTCACATAACTCATATAATTAAGAATAGATACTTCTGTTGCCCTGCTCTAAGCAGCTAAGAAATAGAGTTATTTTAATTTATGTACTTGAACTTGTGTTTTCAGCGCCAGTTTTGTTATGAATCTGTGAATCCATAAAAATGTCAGAGAATTTGGTTTGTCCAGGTCAGGCTGTAAGTTACAGGAAGGTTTCATGGCTGTCCAGCTGATGAAGCTGTGTCTGTGCTCTGTAGAAATGTTTACAAGTGTTTCTCAGAATGTGTTTGTGCACATTATTTATGTCTCATGTCAAACTATTTAGAGAAATGGGAAACCTGCTGTAGAAGGTGGCTTTGGTAAATGCAGGGGGAAATAGTTTTAAAAACAGAAGTTGCCTGGTGTTAACAAATAGAAAATAATGTTTTTTACCTAAATGTATTGGCTTTGAGATGTAAACATGAGGAATGGGTTTGGGTGTGTGAAATCGGGTGGGTGCCGATGTTTTTGCAAGGCAGGCAGCGCAGCAAGGGAAGGTTTCCTGTGGTCCTTGCTGTCCCTGAGGCAGGGCTGTGCCGTGGGGAGCTGATGTTTGTCCGTCTGTGTTTGTGGCAGGGCAGCACAACTACCTGTGTGCCGGCAGGAACGACTGCATCATCGACAAGATCCGCAGGAAGAACTGCCCCGCGTGCCGCTACCGCAAGTGTCTGCAGGCGGGCATGAACCTGGAAGGTAACAGCACTGTCTGCCCGGGCTGCTGCTGCCCGGGCTGCTGCTGGGGTAACTGGGGGGGCAACTGGTGGGGCTGCTGCTGGGGAGCTGCTGGGGCTGCTGGGGAACTGCTGGGGAACTGCTGGGGAGCTGCTGGGGAACTGCTGGGGCTGCTGCTGCGGCAACTGGTGGGGAACAGCCAGGGAAATTGCCAGGGCAACTGCTGGGGCTACGGCTGGGGAAACTGGTGGGGCAACTGGTAGGGAAACTGCCAGGGCAACTGTTGGGGCAACTGTTGGGGCAACTGGTGGGGAAACTCTCAGGGAAACTGCCAGGAAAACTATGAGGGCAACTGCCAGGGCAGCTGCTGGGGGCAGCTTCAGTCCGTGCTGCATTCTGTGGGCATTGTAAGGAGATGCAGCAGGGCTTGTGCTGAGCCTTCTCCTGGTGTGCTCATTCGGTGTGCTCAGCACAAGTGAGGCTGAGGCACGCGCACAAACAGGGGTTGTTCTTCATCCCTCTCAGCACGTACATCACGGGGCTTTTCCGTGGGATGTGGGACAGCAGAGCTTGGAGAGCACCTGGAGGGAGGTGTAACACCCATGGGAGGGTGTGCTGAGTGACCTGACTGAGACCATGGACAGGGATGGGAGTGGGGGTTACGTCTTCCAGCTGAGGAAAGTTGAAGTACTTTTGTTCATGCTGTGAATACTTCTTAAATATCTGACAAAATTTCTCTAGAAAGTGTTGGTTGAATTGAACATATCACCACAACATTGTTCTCTGCTGAGTCCTGAATGACTCCTGAGAATCTGAAGGCTACATCAACCAGAGATTTAACAGCAGTTGTAAAATGGCATAAAACACTTTTATTGGTGTCAGCTTCACTTTATGTTTGCTATTTTTCCCTGAGCAGCAGAGATTAACGCAGCACTTACTAGTGCAGTTATCCTGGTGGTCCGTGTATAATCAGAGTTGTCAGATAAAATAAAAATGTCAAAGATGTATTTGTCAGCTCCAAGGATGAGCAGAATTTCATTTCAGTCAGTGCTAACATCCTTGGTGAGGTGTAAGTGATAAGTTAAAGAGATCAATGAAGCACAGCCTGGTGTCTGTGTTAGCACATCCTCCCTCTTGTGCTCCCAGCCTCCTCAGGGGGACACAGCACCACCTCTCCTGGGCTTCTCCTGGGCTTCTCCTGGGCTTCTCCTGGGCTGCAGGGGACTGGACCTGCCCTTCCAGGCTCACCCCCTCCTCGGGGTGGGTGGGATGCTGCTGCTCCCTTTCTTGAGCTGTTGTCATTATGTGTGCAGGAGGAGAGGTCACAGCCAAAACCTACAGTAGTGGCTTCTGAAATAAACCCCTAAAGGCTGTGGATGGGCAGTGAGTGTCTCCCAGGAGCTGGGTTTGGGGTTTGGACACTCCCAGTGGGCTGGACCTCATCCTTCAGGGGTCAGAGCAGGACAGGCCTTTTGCCTGGTCCATGGGACAGGTCACTGCCCTGCCAGTGGCTGGGGGCAAGGACACCCAACAGCTGAGCCTAAGGCAGCTTAAATAATGCCAAACCCCACAGGTGTGGTTTTGAGGTGGGAAAGAATGCATTTTGGTTAAGGTTGATTTCTGTTTATTCTCTTCGTAGTTGTTTTCAAAATACATCTGTGCCATTCACTGATTTATCTATGTGAATAAGTGCTCTCATAGTAAGGAACAGTTCTCTAACACTCAGGCTTAGGGCTCTCACTGTGGGCTTTTCCCTCCTGAGAAGCTTCAGGGTGATGACGTTGGGCTCCTGTCACTTCTCCTCATGTAGGCTGGAGCCCTTCCAGAGTGGTTTGTCTGAATTCTGGCACAGAGAATCCTAGAGAAGAGTGAGGTTTTGGAGGGTGGATCTTGTTATATAAGTTGTTGGAGAAGGTGGGGAGAGGGAAGCTTTTATGGCTGAGAGGGAAAAGGAATCTAGAAACTCAGGAGCACAAAATGGAAGAACCCAGAGTAGTGTGAAAGGGTGAAAAATGCCCTGAAAACAAGGATTTTGGGACAGATCTGAGCAGATGGAGAAGTGGTCATGCAGAAAAGCAAACTGAGAGGCAGCAAAATGTGCAGAAGAGACCAATATCCAGTTTATCTTGTCTATTTGAGGCTCACAGTTCAGGAATGACTGTTGTTCAAAAGAGAATTAAATTTGCATGTTTTTTAGACAGTAATTTCTTTTTGAAAAGCCCCCAGCTGCATCCTCAGTGCATAAACACTGGTTGTAGCAAACCAGTGAATGGTCAGGAGAGACCCCAGTGTCCAGCCCTTCAGTCCCTGGGCCCCTTGCACTCTCCTGACTTCCTGCTGGGCTTTTCCCAGGAGCCTGCCCTGTTTTGGGTTTCTCACTTTCTGGTACCTACAGTGGATTTCACTGTTAGCTATTGGGTAGAAAATTAATTTATTTTTAAATTAATGAATTCATTAATTTGTATTTTAATTGACCCATTCTTGTCCTGAGTTAAAAGTGGCTCTTTCTAGTCACTTGATAATTTTCTGTTAGCCTTTTTTACTATAAAACCATTAAGGTTGGAGAAGACCTCAGGTCCATCAGTCATCCTTTTGGCCCTGCATATCATCCTTTTCTGGAACTTTATTCTCTCTATTGCATATTTTTGGGGGCGTAGGGGACTGGAAAAACATCAAACTGTCAAGCTGCAGGTACCAGAGATTTACACAGCACAAAGATGATATTTTGTACTCCAGCCTTTATTTCCTTGAGTTCTCATTTCCGCTCCCACCGTTAATTGGTGTTCCTTGGCACCCTCTCTCTTTGTGATGTGCTGGAAGAAAAGATTTATTGTTAGGTTTTATGCCTCTAAAAAACGGTCTCATCATTTTTTTGGCTTTTCATGCTGCATTTTACATTTAAACTTGGCAATTAATTAGTTTTTTCTGCAGTCTTCACTTGGAATTTCTTTCATTTTTTTGAGGAATCTTTAGTTGTGGTGCTCTGCCCTGCCGTGCCCGCAGTGGGCTGGGTCTGGTTCCCCTTGGGGAGGGCAGGGGCTGCCGGGGTGGGGGCAGGTCCCTCGCCCACCTGGCCCAGGTGCTGGGGCCATCTGCCCCCAGGCAGGGAGGAGGAAGCCTCTGCAGCCTGGTGGATGCCAGACTGCAGGAGCCTGGGGCTCGGGGCTTTGTTTGTTTTGAACAGAAAATCTTGGATGCTTTTCTCTCCGTGCTGAGTTTATCTGTGGGGGTTATCTCCTGTAACGTGCCCTAAGGAGCTGGCTTTAAATTAGTGGTCTTTATTATTATTTAAAAATTAATTGCAAAGAAATACATTATCTCAACCTTCTTCTTTCTTTGTGAGGTACAGCTATATATCTAAGTCAGGACTGGTAGCAGCCTGATAAAAATTCTTGCATAATAATTTGTCTTATCAGATCTGTTTATTTTGATTATAATTTTATCAGGCTTTCTGGGCTGGAAATACTCCATCCAGGTGTCTGCAGGAAGCTGAAGGCATGTGCTTCTAAATTTAAGTCAAAGCAGTTCATTTGCTCTTCAGAACACGGATAATGGGGCAAAAAAAAACAGAATATGAAAGGATTTTGAAGCGACCATTTCAAAATTGAGATGAGAACAACAAGAAGCTCTTTGCTCCAAGGAAACAACTCTTGCTATTCCCTCACGGCAGGCTTGGCACGTGTGGCCAGTCTAGAAGACTTTGGGAACATGCAGTTTGTACGAGGTCTGAGGAGGATCCCTTGTCTGTGGAGCTGATTTCTGGGAGGAGCGGGTCCAGGAGGGGTTGGTGTGCTGCCACTGCAGGCTGGGGCAGTCTGGGTGCTCAGGGGTTCTGGACAGGCAGGAGGGACTTGGAATGCACAACCACACTTTGTGGTGTTTTACGGGCTACAGCCTGATCTCGGAGTTCCAGAGCAGAAATCCCTCCATGAGCCAAGGCACCCAGGGCAGGAGCTGGGCTCCTTTCCCCCTGAAGCAGCGAGTTCCTTCCGTGTGGCCGCTGCATGCAGCAGAGCCCCAGCCAAGCAGGAGACTCCATTAGGGACAAGATGCTAATAAAACTGGTGCTCCAACTTTTTGTAGTTTACAGTTAACATCTCTGTGTGGTGTTTTATTTATTTGGCGAATGAGTTTTATGGTTTAATTACGCAGCAGTGATTTATATGCAAGAGAGCTGGCAGGAGAAAAAGTTTCTCCTGCCCAGCATTTTTTAAAAAAAAGAAGCTTTCCCTGGCTTGAGAGATCCAGTAACTTTTTACCCATTAAATATATTTTTTTCCCTTTCTTTTGCCTAGTTTTTGTGTTTGCTATTTAAAGGAACTTTTAAAGTGTGCAGTCCTGCAGATATTTCCAGTGGTGGAATTGAGCCTTGTATTTTAGGGTTGGCTTTGGATTTTTCAGCCTTGTATTTTAGGGTTGGCTTTGGATTTTAGGATTTTTCAGCCTTGTATTTTAGGGTGGGCTTTGGATTTTAGGATTTTTGAGCCTTGTATTTTAGGGTTGGCTTTGGATTTTAGGATTTTTGAGCCTTGTATTTTAGGGTTGGCTTTGGAATTTAGGATTTTTGAGCCTTGTCTTTTAGAGATGGCTTTGGAATTTAGGATTTTTCAGCCTTGTATTTTAGGGTCAGCCTTGGATTTTTTCAGCCTCCTAAGGTACCTGCAGACATTGCTGAACTCTTTGAAGCATTGGCATAAATGTGGCTCCTATTAAAATGCAAGGCATTATTTTCAGTGGAAGTTTGCTTGGAACGAGTGCGGAATTCCCGGCTTTGCCGAGCAGTGCTGTGCAGGTTCCGCTGCCCGGCTGCAGGGGAGCAGGGCAGCGTTTCCTGCGCTGTGTTTATCCATTTCCAGCCCTCACCTGTGCTCCTTTCCCCACCCTTTGCAGCCCGGAAGACCAAGAAGAAGATCAAGGGGCTGCAGCAGGGCGGCGCGGCGGGCGCGCGCGAGGCTCCGGAGGCAGCTGGCAGCAAGAGCATCGTGCCCGCCTCGCTGCCACAGCTGACGCCCACCCTGGTGTCCCTGCTGGAGGTCATCGAGCCCGAGGTGCTCTACTCGGGCTACGACAGCTCCCTGCCCGACTCCAGCTGGAGGATCCTCTCCACGCTCAACATGCTGGGCGGCCGCCAGGTGGTCGCTGCCGTCAAGTGGGCAAAGGCAATCCCAGGTAGGGCACGGGCACGGGGGTGCTGCCTGCAGGCTTCCTGCTGGACCTGGGTCCTGCAGGCTTCCTGCTCAGCCCAAACCTGCCTCTTCTCCTTCAAAGCTGTGTGCATGAGGTGTTGGTAGAGTCGGGGCTTCTTCACGGCTCCAGTACTTCCGGAGCAGAAGAGCGGAAAAAATGACAGATGCAAACATTTATTTGCCACAAATTGGGTCATTTTATTTGAGCACTTTGACCATTGCATATTGAAAATCTTATTTAAATGGGTATTTGTTGTAAAAGTATTACAGAGAACTATTTGTATTAGCTCTGTCTCCACCTCAGATTCACAGAATGCCAGAATGGTTTGGGTTGGAAGGACCTTAGAGCCCACTCAGTCCCACCCCTGCCATGGCAGGGACATCTTGTACTGTCCCAGGTGTCCAGCCTGGCCTTAGACACTTCCAGGGGTCCAGGGGCAGCCACAGCTGCTCTGGGCAGTAAACAATTATTTCTTGAACACTTATAGCAATGAGGTTCTCCTGACTTCTGCAGCCCAACATCTCTGTGCTGGCTCATTGGGTCTGCGTTCATGGGTGGATGTTTCCTGACTCCCCCTCACTGTCCAGCTCCAGGGTGGAAGTCAAGGTGTTATTTTCTCTCCAGCTCTGCTCAAAGTGACTCTTACCTGGGCAGGTTTGCTGCTGTTCTGGCTCCCACCTAAAGACACAGTGAGGCACAGAAGAAGTGATGCCAGATCTCAGCCTTGGACATGACACGTGGCATCTGTCTTGGAGAGGCCAGGGCCAAGAGGAGCTGAAGATGTTTGTTCCTACAGAACAAAGCCCAGTGTTTATCTCCCTCTCACCCCTGTCAGTGCTGTTCACTACCTGTTCTCAGAATCCCTGGCAAAAACACCTCCATGACGCATAGGTTGCCCAAAAATAACATCACAGAACAGGTCTGCCAAAAAAAAAAAGAAAAAAGCCTGATAATGAGATTTATGAGTCATAACTGTGTCTCTTTGAGCAAGGGAAATAAATTAACAGTGGGAAGGAAAGGCTGGAAAACTCAAATCCATCTGTGTCCAGCAGAGATGTGACTGCAGGGTTTGTGTGGGGTCTGGTTGACAAGGTGGGACAGGTTGGACCAGTTGGACTCAGTGATCCTGGGGAGCTTTTCCAACCTCAGTGATTCTGGCATTCTGTGTCAGGGCTGTTTGCACTGGGCACTTGTGCTGAATTAGCTCAGTCTGCTCGAGGAGAGGCTCACATGCACACACTTCCTTCTGGGACAGGTTTTTGGGAGACCATCTGCTATTCCCAGATCCAGATTTAGATTCCATTTTATAAAACACTTCTCTGTTCATCATCTCTGCTGAGCAGAGATGTTTGTAATTAGCCAAACCCTTCAGGTTAGAGCTTATGCTCTCAATGAAAATGCCAATCTTCTCTTTAATAGCTACATTAATGGCAACTATTCTTATCATTTTTATCTCCTTTCTTTTGTTTGCTGAGGTGGTTCCTCATGAGTGTTTAATTTGTATATCCTGCTCCTGTTGTAGCCCATCAGCCATGCTGACAGCACGCCAGCATTCCTTGCCAAACCCTTTAGCTGGGATTTCAAAATAACCTTTTCCTGGGGAGGGTTTGAGCACAGGTTTCAAGGTTTGACCCAGAAAGACTGGAATCACTTTGAAACCCTTTCTTTGTAATTTAGAGGCAAAAGCTGGTCCCTCCTGGTGGCTCCAAAGCCAGGGGCTGTGTTTAGACCCACCAAGTTTGTTACATCCACTGGCTGGCTGTGCTGGCACAGCCTCAGGAAGCAGCTCTTCAGATGTTATGAGCTCTTTAGATGTCAGATGCTTAATAAAAATAGATAAAATCAACTTGTATTCAGGCTCTAATAATGGCTCCGTATGGCAGGATGGTTTCTTGGTAAGTGTAGGCTGCATCTGATATGAGCTGGTGCTGCAAATCCAAAGCTGATGGCATTTTCAGACTCTTTGGGGGACCAGTTGCCAGCTTTTACTCATTTCCTCCCTCTTCAGTTGGCTCTGTTCATGCTACGTGTGAGATTAGAAGCAGTTCATGCTGGTAACTAGTGCACTACTTACTTTGTAGGTTCAGTGTGCAATTGTTGTTGAATAAGAACATTTGATATTAAATCATTTATTGTCTAGCAGGCTGCTCTTGTGAAAAGGAGCTAACCCTGTTATTTTTGGAAGGCAGCCCAGTGAATTACAGTGTATGTGAACTGTAATTGTTGCCTTTCGTGATGTATCTGACTGACCATCAGCTCCACATAACCACACACATATCTACTGGGATTTTGTAATGTTGCACTCTTTCACTCCCTGTGGTACCTGTGCACTGATAACCCAGCAGTTCTGCTGCTCATCACCCTGCTCCTTTCCCAAGCCATGCAGATTTTTGTCCTTTGTTGCCTTTTTGCAACTGACGCCATCCCCCCTGCGTTTTTGTTTCTGCAGGTTTCCGAAACTTGCACCTGGATGACCAAATGACCCTTCTGCAGTACTCCTGGATGTTCCTGATGGCTTTTGCTCTAGGCTGGAGGTCCTACAAGCAGTCCAACGGCAACCTGCTGTGCTTTGCTCCAGACCTGATCATCAATGAGTGAGTGGGAGCTGCCGGGGCTGGGGGGTGCCTGGGGCTGCTCCGTCCTCCCAGAAATCCCACAGCACCTCTCCCTCCCCACTTGTTTCTCCCCAGCAGCTTGCTTAGCATTTTCCACTCAGTCAAACGGAAGGTAATTGAGATATTAAGTGTATTTATATCCAGAAGTTTTTGTGGGAGGTGTTTGTGCTTTAACATTCCATATTGTGACTGTTCCTGCGCCATTCACTGGAATCATTCATTTTATCAGAGCCAACACAGTCACAGCTAAAAATATGCCTGGGATGGAGAGAAAAGTTTGGCAAATTGCATAATGTTCTGTCTGTTTAGTGTATCAAAGTGGCAGTATGGCCCTGCGAGTTTGCCAGAGTGAAACATTTCTGTCTGATCTGATGAAATTAGGGCTGAAAAGACAAGGCTAAAGATGGAACGACCTGCCTGATTCATATTTTCTTGTTGAATTTTGTTGTCGACTTCCAAGCAAAGTTGAATTTGGTGGAATGTTTGAACATGTATTTTCTTGCACCACACGTAGTTTTCCTTGTATTTTTCCAGGTTTTGTTGTGCAGTAATTCTGTGCTGTAGAAGAGGGAATTTGAGATTCTTGAGGTGGTTGGATCTTACTTGTGTGTTTCTTTTCTGGTTGTGATATGGAGACAATACTTTTAGCCTGATTTGGCACAGTTTAATATTTTTGGTCCTATTTCACTTCAAAATCAGATCTCCCAAATATTTTCTGTGTTTTAAAAAAATATAATAATTGTTACATTTTCTGTGGGATCAGTGATTTGTAGTTCATGTTTATTTATTCCCTTGCTTTTTTTTTCTCATTGTAAATATTTATCCAGGCTTTTATAAACTGTAATCATTGCCTCATAGTAATAATTTTTTTAAAAGACTGAGAAGGAGATGGCAGGTGAGGGCCCATCTGTATCTTTGTGTTTATTAAAGTGCTAAGAATGTGTCCCTGGAGGAGAATAGTCTCTGTATGGTGGAGTTGAAATAATTGATGTTGTCACTAAGTGCAATAACATCTGATTTGCTGTAAGTCAGAGGTCTCCTGCTGTTTTATCAGTGGGTCAAAACCACAGAGCTTCACTGCTAGGTGTTGGAACTCTTGAAAACCCCCAGAAATGAAAGGGTAATGCTGTTACAGCAAGCAGTAATTCCCAAATTCCTTCCAGCTACAGTTGGGTGAATCGTAGATCACGGTGACATTTGTTTTCAATAAAACACTGAGCTGACTGAGAGCACTGCAGCTCCTTCCAGGGAGCTACAGGTCCTCCATAAAACTCTCTGCTCGTAACTTTTTATGTCCCATCCCTCAATAAAACAGAGCCACCTCGGGGTAGGACCTGACAAGCACCAGGGGAGACCTGAGAGCCCTGCAGGAGCGACCTGGTGGGCAGGCAGAAAAATCACCACCCTTGGCTTGGGGTGATAGCTGTGTCCACGTGGGAGCTGAGCTGGGGGCTGGGGATGGTCACTGCCATGCCACAGAGAGGGGCAGCTGCTCCTGGGTAATTCCCTTGGGGTTTTACAGGGGGTTAGACACCATTTATTCTGTTCTGAGCTTGCAGCACTTACCCTCACGTTCAGTGCAGTTCAGTGGCTTCAGCTTCACAAAGGGAAACTCCATCTCTCCAAGGCTTGGTGGTTCAGTTGTCATGGCTGCAGTTATTGATGGATTTCTTTATGGGATTCATTCGACTTTCTTTAGCCTCATGCATCTGAGCAGCATCAGTCCTTCATGCACTTATCCTCGTGCCAGCCCTGCCCACTGTGTTCCTGTGTATTTACTGCTGCTTACACGGAGTAGCAACATCCAGTAGCTCAGAGTCTGTGGTAGGAAAGAGGATTAAATTCTCTTCTTACGTTTCAAACTGGCATATTTGTCATTTGCTCAGTCTTCTCCTAAAAATTTAATATTTATTGAATATTCCACTTTTATGTCTGTACTCCTATAATTTATTTATTTTTATGGAGGTATGTCTATACTAGCTGGCAATTTTATATATATCATACGTGTTTTTATACACATACACATGAAACTTGATTCAAGCTGTTGAAAAGTTTGGCAGCTGAATAAATCTTAGGCTTTAGGCCATTATTTAGGACTTGGAAAGGGTTTAAACCTGTGATTTTGCAGTATTGTATAACTGTTTCCCCAGTTTGTGATTGAAAACATGCCCTGCTGGAGCTGGCACTGGCTGTGTCTCAGCTTTCGTCCTCTGGGTATGTCACAGGGTGCCCAAAATTACAGTGAGCAGTGACGGAGCACAGTGGTGTTCTTCGAGTAGCAGATGCCATTTAATTGCTGTCCAGCTGGGGACAGAAGTTCCTGGAAGTGCTGGGCCCCAGGATTTTGTCTCTGGTCCGTGCTGGTGGCTGTAGTGCTTGCTGGGAGGGCTGAGGTCACGCGTTTGTCCTGCTGATCTCGTGTGCCATGCAGGGTGGCTGTGCTGCTGCCTGGGGATAGCAAAACAACAAGTGAGGTCACTTTTGTAAGCAGTGCTGTGGCAGTGGCCTTTTTCCCCGAAGTTTCTCCCCAGCATTCTTTTGTAACTCCTTCTCTGGAGTCGGTGCCATCTGGTTTTCAGAGCAGCAGCCTCTCGTTTGCTGGGGGTTGGTGCTGTGCAGCTCTGCTGAGCTGGGAGACTCAGAGCAGTGCAAAAACCCTGCCGTGGGTGCTTCCCTCGCCCATGTGCCCATTGCTGAGTCCATTGCTGTGCCCATCCCTGTGCCATCCCTGTGTCCATCCCTGTGCCCATTGCTGTGCCCATCCCTGTGCCATCCCTGTGTCCATCCCTGTGCCCATTGCTGTGCCCATCCCTGTGCCCATTGCTGTGCCCATCCCCTTGTACCTCCTTGTGTCCGTCCCTGTGTCCATCCCTGTGCCCATTGCTCTGTCCATCCCCTTGTACCTCCTTGTGTCCATCCCTGTGTCCATCCCTGTGTCCATCCCCGTGTCCATCCCTGTGTCCATCCCTGTGCCCATTGCTGTGCCCATCCCCGTGTCCATCCCTCTGTCCATCCCTGTGTCCATCCCTGTGCCCATTGCTGTGCCCATCCCCGTGTCCATCCCTCTGTCCATCCCTGTGTCCATCCCTGTTCCCTGTGCCCTGTCCTGCCAGGCCTGGGGCGCAGGGTGGGTGCTGAGGGCACAGGGAGGGGGGCAGCTGCAGCAGCCTGCTCAGTGGTGGTGCCTGGGGAGGCCGGTGTGTGCTGTGCCCATGAGCTCTGCGTGTGTCCCATGAGCTCTGTGTGTGTCTCATGAGCTCTGCGTGTGTCCCATGAGCTCTGTGTGTTTCCCGTGAGCTCCGTGTGTCCCGTGAGCTCCGTGTGTCCCATGAGCTCTGTGTGTGTCCCATGAGCTCCGTGTGTGTCCCATGAGCTCTGTGTGTCCCATGAGCTCTGTGTGTGTCTCATGAGCTCTGCGTGTGTCCCATGAGCTCTGTGTGTTTCCCGTGAGCTCCGTGTGTCCCGTGAGCTCCCATGAGCTCTGTGTGTGCCCCATGAGCTCTGCGTGTGTCCCATGAGCTCTGCATGTGTCCCACTGCTCCATGTGTGTCCCATGAGCTCCGTGTCTGTCCCATGAGCTCTGCATGTGTCCCACTGCTCCGTGTGTGTCCCAGTGCTCCGTGTGGGGCTGCGCGGGTCCGTGGGTGGGGAATGCCCCGTGCAGGGAGGGCAGCTGGCATCCCGAGCAGGCAGAGCCCTGAGCGCTGCCCTTGTCCCCGCTGTGTCCCCAGGACAGCTCCCTGTGCCAGCTGAGATCATCTGATGTGCCCTGGCCAGCAGGGCCTGGCTGGGAGCTGTTCCAGAGCCGTGCCCGCGCTGGGGCTGGCGCAGGGTGGGGGATCAGCCTCCTGGTGCCCTGACACGGGGCAGAGCCCGCCTGAGCTCAGGGCCGTGGCTGCTCTCGGAGCTGCAGCTTGTGCAGCCTTGGCCTGCCCAAGCTCTGTGCCTTCCTCCTCATCCTCAGCCTCCCGGACGGGGCTGCATTCCCAGCAGGCACAAACAAACAGCAGGCTGGCCCCTTTCCTAATGTTTATTGTAACCTTCTGCCCAGAAGTGGGCACAGTTTTACATGAGGAAATCTGCTGAGCCCTGGCAGAGAACGGGTTTGAATTACTCAGTCTGAAATGTGTGAGATGCCCTGTGGTCCTGCCCAGAGGGGCCAGGACAGCGTTTGCCAGCTGGCCGAGCGGTGCCTTTGTGCCAGGTGCCCTGAGACACGTGCCACAGCCCAGCATTTCCCCTGCTCCTGTGCAGCATCCCCTGCTGTGCTCCTGGCGGTGGGATGCTGAGCTGAGGCCGGGTGCTGGGGCTGCTCTCAGTGCCACAGCTGGGGCTGCAGTGTGGGCAGTGCCACACAGGGCCCACTTCCACGGGAAGGAATTGTCCAGCAGCTGTGTTTGGGAATGCTGGGGTTTTACCCTGGTGCTTGGTGTAACAATAATACAGTTTTAATGCAGTTTCAGTAGTGTGTGTTCCTGTCTTTCAAAAGCCATCAGGATTCCCCTGGTTTTTGCACCTGAGAACGGGCTGTTCCCTGTTTCCACTCAGGGCTTCCCAGGGTGATTGTGAGGGAACATTGTACAGTCCTCCCTGAGGTCTAGGGAGGGACAATGGAAAAGTGATCAGCTTTGGAGGAGTTGTTGTTTCATAACCAAATCTTACTCGTAACTCCCACAGGGATCCCAGTTTGTCTCTGCGTGGATTACAATGCTGTATAGGTGATACCAAGGAAAGGTGACATGTTATTAATAAAAAATGGGGTGCTGGCATCACTGCAGAGAGATGGTGCACTCATTGCATGGAGTTACTTTGCTTGTCTTCTTCTCTGCAGAAGAAAACCCATAGAAAATCATAAATCTGTCTTACACTCTTCAGAATTAGTCAGGTCTTCATTTCCCACTCAAAACTAGTTCTGCAGTATTCACAGTAACCAGCTCTAAGAGCACAGATAAGCAAGATTGTTGTGTCAGATGAGGTATTAGATAAAAGCAGTTCCTGTCTTGATGCAGGGCTTCATCGAAATAGGAAAAAAAATACAAAAACATAACGTTTGTTATTCTGATTCCAGGATTTGCCTTTGCTTGTCAACATGACTTTCCATTTTTGGTTAGAAACCAGTTTATCACAGTACAGAGATAATGAAGTTTAATTGCAGTGCTGGTCATTGCTTCAGGAACGTAGATGGGCACAAGTCTAAAGTCACTTGGAAAACTGAGGAGTTACAGGAAGATACTCCTGAGTATATAAATATGCATTAAATTAGGTGCACTTCTCAAAGGCATTGAAAGAATTAGAGAAATCCCAGCTCTAGTGTGGCACTCCATCATGTTTTCCTGGGAAGATGAGAGGGGAGCTCAGACTGAGCTTGATTTCTGTGTCACGTTGGTGCTGGGGCTGCTGAGAGCAGGGCGTGCTGCTGAGCCCTTGGTGCAGACAGGCTGTGGGCTCAGGATGTCCCAGGGCTCCTCCTGCCCTCAGGGCCAGCTTTACCCGTGCCACCAAGGCAGTCACCCCAGGGGCAAACCCCAGGGGAAATGGAGCCTCTGCTGTGCCCTGGCTCACGTACAGCTCCTCATCTGCACGTGGAAAAACGTGATCCAGAGCGTGCAGATAGGCAGACATTGCACTAATCCCTGTGCTTTGTTCCTCAGGCAGAGGATGAACCTCCCGTGTATGTATGAGCAATGCAAACACATGCTCATGGTGGCCCGAGAGCTGTCCCGGCTCCAAGTCTCCTACGAGGAGTATCTCTGCATGAAGACGTTGCTTCTCCTCTCTACAAGTAGGTGAACAGCTCAATACCAAGCTCTTTGCTTCTGCAGAAGTGTGTGGTGGATTTGCAGTAGATACTGTGAGATAGATTTGTACAATATGCTACGTGCTGGTTTTATCTTTAGGTAGGATATGCTGGAGTTAAGTCACAGCTTAGTAAATTCTGTCTGTACTGCATGAAAGTTCAAAGTGCAGTGTCAAAAAGAGTCCTTTTGGAATAGACAGAAATAAACTAACCTAGTATAAGTGATTATGTGTGAATACTTTCTACAGTGTTGTTTTTCCCCTCTGGTGTTCTCCCCTGCTCCATGGGGCTGGAGCTCCTCGAGGGTCGAGCTCAGCTGCAATCCAGGGACTCCCAGAGCAAAGAGAGAGGGAGAGGAAGAGTGTGTGAGTGTGTGTGTGTGTGCAGGGGTGTGTGTGAGTGTGTGTGAGTGTGCAGGGGTGGGTGTGAGCCGGGCACCTCGCTCCAGCACAGCCTCTGTGTCCTGGGAAACCCCATCCCATCCCATCCCATCCCATCCCATCCCATCCCATCCCATCCCATCCCATTATCCCATCCCATCCCATCAATCCCATCCCATCCCATCCCATCAATCCCATCCCATCCCACGCTCAGGGGATCCCGAGGGAGCTGCTCGGGCAGGGACTGACACATTCCTGCTCCTGCCTGGCACGAGGGGTTTGGTTCAGAGCACTGACAGAGGTGCCAGCGTGTTTGGAAGGTAGCAGCAGAGCAGGTGAAGGTTTGCCAACACACTTTGGTACTTGTGCACCATCCTCAGCAGGTGCCTTGGCTTGGAAGGGACCTGAAATGTGATGAAAAGTAAATATTATTAAGTTTATTACACTGAAGGTGTAAACATTCCTTATCTTTAATGTTTCCAGTGAATAATAGCTTTGATTCTCATACAGAAAGGAGAATTTGTTCACCTTGGGCTTTTTCTGGACAGGAGCAGGAGGATTGGGAACCCAGCACTGCTCCCAGGTCGGGGCAGGGGTGAGGGGTGTGGGCAGTGTGAGGGTGCCATGGCCAGTTCCCCCAGTGCCCCACCAGCCTGGCAGTGCCCAGCACTGCCTCGCTGCCAAGCCCAGAGCTGGGACAAGGGCTCTTTTCAGAGGAAACTTTCAGCCTCTCATGGCCGTGGGCTTTGTAGGAACTTAAAACTTCCCTGCAACTGCAGATTTCAAACAGTTCCTGTTTGATTCTGAAATCTCTCCCAAAAATTCCTCAAGTGTTTCGGGTGTGGTGGAGGCCAGCTTTCCTCACAGGAGCTGGAAATTTCCACGGGGGAATCTGCATGGCAGAAGTGGTGAGGAGGCAGCACTGGCAGGGCTGGCAGGGGCTGGCAGTGCCCAGAGAGGCCTCTCCACTCATCTCCAGAGGGACACAATTCATCTTCATTTTGCTAAGAACATACATTGTGTGAGTGGTACATCAGGGAACTTCTGCAATTCAATAGCTGAAATTTCTATAGCTCTTGGACAATTTGAGTTTGTTTATTGTGTTTCTGTGTTAAGTTTTCCAAGAGAAGAGGAGGAGGAGGAGGAGTAAAACAGGAATCCCACACAGGTCTAGACTTGTAGCTCACACACAGACGTAGCTCAGAGACCTTTTCCATGTGAAGCACTGAAACAGTTGACAGGTTTCATCTCTGTGTGGGCAAGACAGACAAGAGACTTCATTCCAGAATCTCTCAGATGCTGACAGTGCAGGGAAGGTTGGATTTCCTGAGGAAGGGAATGTGCTCTGTGGCATCTGTCCTCCTGTCATGCTTTTGCTCACCTTTGTCTCAGCTCTTTCTCTACTCTGTCTTCAACTCTTTCACTCCCCTCAGAGGCCTCAAAGGAAGCACCTGAAGGACCTCTGGGGTCCCCATTAGTCCAGGTTGGTCCTTGGCCTGGAAAGGACCATCCCCATAGGAGGAGATGGCACAGGCAGTTCACCTGGGTTTGGATCCCCAGCTCTGGGTTTCTGTCCCCAGCTGCTCCCCTGCCCAGCCCTGTCTGGGTGTCCCTCCCTGTCCCAAACAAGCTGTGTCCATGCCCAGTTTCCCATGGCTGGTGCAGTCTGTTTGTTGTCCAGGCTGTCATGCCTCGCCTGGACCCGTTACTTGATCCATGTCAGGAGGCTCAGGACCAGATGATCTTTCAAGATCCTTTCCAAGCCAAGCCATCCTGTGATCCTGCCCTTGCTGTTCCCTGGGCACACGGAATTTTTAAGGAACCTTCCTAATGTCACATTTGCCCAGGGCTGGAGGACACAGGAGCTCCATCCCTGGTGCTTTTCCATCAAGCTGCTTCCAGGCCTGGGTGTTGTTGCCTCCATGGTCCAGTTCCCTTCCTGCTGTTTCTTGGTGGAATACCTTTGGAGTTTTTTTGTTTTTTTTCCATTTTGCAGCAAGCCTATGCTTTATGTTCAGCTGGTCACTTTGGTCCAGGCCTGGGTGTTGTTGCCTCCATGGTCCAGTTCCCTTCCTGCTGTTTTTTGGTGGAATACCTTTGGAGATTTTTTTTATTTTGCAGCAAGCCTGTGCTTTGTGTTCAGCTGGTCACTTTGACAGCTGGTCACTGTCCCATCCTGCTCTCTCCTTGTCTCTCTGCTGTCATTCCATCAGTCCAAGTCCTTTTTCTTTTGCTCATTTTCACAGAATCACAGAATGGTTTGGGTTGGAAGGGACCTTAAAGCTCATTTTATTCCAACCTGGTCTTAAACACTTCCAGGGATCCAGGGGCAGCCCCAGCTGCTCTGGGCACCCTGTGCCAGGGCCTGCCCACCCTCACAGGGAAGAATTCCATATTTTTCCCTGAGCTTCCCCTCCTGCTCCTTGTCCTGTCTGCAGCTCCTGAGGAAGATTCCCTCTCCGTGTAACTAATGTAAGAGAACTTAAATCATGTCCCAGCTGAGCTTGGCAGTGCTGTAAAGGCTGGTGTCCATGTTGCAGTTCCCAAGGAGGGCCTGAAGAGCCAGTCCCTGTTTGAGGAGATCCGCATGACGTACATCAAGGAGCTGGGCAAGGCCATCGTCAAGAGGGAAGGGAACTCCAGCCAGAACTGGCAGCGATTTTATCAACTGACTAAACTGCTGGACTCTATGCATGATGTAAGTCCTGACAGGAATGCTGCAGGCATTCCAGAGAAATACGTTTGGGGCGGGGACGGCGAGCTCCTCCTGCTCTTTTTATTAAAGGGAGAATATCGGGAGGAGGAGGAGGAGGAGGAGGAGGAGGTCATGCTCCCTTGCTGTCTCACGAAGGGCAAATTGAGAGCCTTGACCATAGTCCTCTCAGGCTGCCTCTGCAGTGCAATCCACAGCAATTAATTGTATAATTAATCTCATTTTCAGTCTCTGTAGTTTTTTAAAGTTACGTTGCTTTAAAAAGGAGGAGCTCAGGAACTGTAACTGACTTTGCAGTAGAAGCAGAAATGTGGCATTTAAACCAGTCTTATCTCAGAGCCCAAGGAGTAAGGAGTTTATGGAATAGTTTGAAATTCCATTAAAACAATGCCTCAGCAGTATGTGTGGTGTTAACAATGATCTAATTTTGAAGGAATTTCCAATTCAGACCGTCTCCTTTGGCAGTTTAATTCTAATTACACATGTAGCACAAAGCAGTGTTTAAGACAAGGGTAACTTTGAGACCTCAGAATTACTGTTTTTTTCTTGTTACTCTAGCAAGCACCTGGAAGGATCTCATTTAGCCTATCCATGTGTGTGTTATTTATCTGCTGGAATGGGAATTGGTACCGAATCTCCTCGGTGTTTGTGAAGCCTTGCACAGTCTGTTTGGCTGGTTTATATCAGAGTGCCACTGACAATAATTAGTGAGCTAAATGAGGATTCCTGTGCACGTCCTGCCTGAGCCCCATCCTGTGGGCAGGAGCTGGGGAGGAGGGAGGTGGATGGATGTTCTCTGAACGTCTTCATCTGCAAGTAATTCTTTGTCTTGTCACTCGTAGGTGGTTGAAAATCTTCTGAGCTTTTGCTTCCAGACATTTTTGGATAAATCCATGAGTATTGAGTTCCCAGAAATGTTGGCAGAAATCATCAGCAATCAGATACCAAAATATTCCAATGGAAATATCAAGAAGCTCTTGTTTCATCAGAAGTGACTGCCTTAACACAAAGGGTTGCCTTAAGAAACCGTCACACGATAGCTTTGTTTTGTAAAGAGAAAACCTACAGAACTTGTTCCTTTTGTCCTCGCAGGTGTTTCTTTTGTAATTATGCACTACATGTGGTTTACAGAGGGCCAAGAGTTAGGCTGGAGAAGCAGCGGATTTCTCGCGTTGGGGAAAGGATTGGGGAGAAAGGAAAGGAAAAGAAATCGTGGTTTTGGCAGAAATTTTCTCTCCCCTCGTGCACCATCCCTGGATGCATCAAACCACCAGTGACAAGCTCTGAGGCTGTTACGAACATTCTGCTAATTAATTAATTAATTGCTGCAGTTGGCTGGAGACAATTTTTTAGGCTTTTTTTTTTATTTTAGTAAAGTGTTTTGGATTTTTTTTTTTAAAGTTAAGGTAGTATTTTGGTTTATGCATGTAACCTGAAGAAAGTTTACAAGTGTATATCAGAAAAGGGAAGTTGTGCCTTTTATAGCTATTACTGTCTGGTTTTAGCAATTTCCTTTAACTTTATATACCGTGAACTCGGCTTGTTCATTTTTTCTTACATAATTTTTTTGTAATACTTCAAGATGCCTATTGTACAGCTGGTTTTTTAAGGTGGGGCAGCTCGTAGCTTTCCTAAATGACCTCTAGACAGTAAGTACTCACGTAGATTCATGTGAAACTGGGTTGGGCTTTTCTAACCTAATGCTTTCAACCGGCAAAGTGGCCATAAAAATTGGGTTTTTTCTAAGGGCCCGGGTGGGTGGGAGAGCACTCTCAAATCTCATTTCAGTAGATCCAGATGAAACAAATCCTTTTGGTACATTGCAAAAGTGTTGGATATGCAGATTCATAGAAAATTAGCCCAGTCCTAACTGGATGTAAATGAGCAGGTTATTTTATATATTTAAAAAAAAAAAAGAAGCCTGATTTTTGCATATGATGCAACAGCCATAACGCAAAGAGTCACGGGCTGCATTGATGCCAAGAAGATCAGTCCTGACTGCCCATCAGGAAATTTTCAGGAAAATATGCATAGCTTCAGAAAAGTTTACTTCTGTGTGGAGAAACTCCGTTTTCTGTACACTTCAAGCTGCCATCACACAAATATTTCGGAGACCCCACGGACGGGGAGGACGGGCGAGCGCGCCCGGCGGCTGGGGCTGCTCTCCTGCAGGAGTCCAGGATCCTCCTCCCCGGGGACTTGTCCACGCAGCTGGGACTGGATCTCCCAGCTCTGAACTCGCCTGGTTAGAGACCCAATTCCGCATCTCCACCCTTCACTGACTGCTCCATCCTCTTTCCTGGAGAGCAGGAGAGCTCCGCTACTGAGTTCGTGGTCTTAGAGTTGTCCGTCAAACTTTCTGTCTTTGTAAGGCTGCAGCCCTTCACATTGAATTCCTGGCGTGCCATAAATTCCCGTAGGCCTTGTGGATTTCTCCTTGTTGCCATTGATGAGGATATTTTCGACATTTAGAAGCTGTAGTAGCCTTTTCTACGTGCACCTTAACAATTTTCTGTATCTCAAAACTGAAATATTTACTATGCCACTCTAAAATTTGATTTTTACTCGAAGTGGCCAGATTGTTTGTGTAATAGAAATGAGAAAGATCGTCTGAGAAAATACAAAACCTAATATATTTTTATATTTAGTTATAGTTTCAAATATGTATAATCGGTATATTCGCTGATCCAAGAAAAAAAGGGAAGGGCTACTGCAGCTTTAAAAGCAATTTATTAAATGATTGTAAAATAGCTTGTATAGTGTATAATAAGGATGATTTTTAGATGACAGATTGCTTTATCATGATACATGTAATTATATTTTTTGTAGGGGTCACAGATACGCTGAGTGGAAACCGTGGCGCGTGGTTGGGCCGGAGGCAGCACCAGGGCTGTCGGTGTTGGTATCCAAAGAAGTGCTCTGTTCAGAGGGGAAACCTGTGCTCCTGGGTGTTTGTGGGTGGGCTTGTGTTCATTGAATCACTGTGTACAATTCCCGTTGGTTTTGGGGGGGGATACTCCTATCTGTATGGTCGGGAGCCGCTCCCGAGGCACGGCTGAACCAGACCCCGCTGCAAAAACTGTCACAGCTCTGACAGCAAAAACAGCTTAGAAATTGGGCAATAATCCACATCCAGGTGCCAGCAATATGTAAATACAGAGCGTGGGGTGTTCACAGCACATTTCTACATTGAGCAGACCTTGGTTTCCAACTGAAATAGGAAACTCAATTCTCATCCTTTCTTAAAGCTCTTTTTGAATGTTATACCTATTAAAAAAAGATCCTATATTCAGTACTTTGGAGTAAAATAGCATCTTTAATAAAAGAAAATAATCACTCTCTTCTTCGATCTGTAAGGAATATGTACATTTTGTAATAGGTAAAGGTCAGGATTTTAATTACAACTTCCAGCCCAAGTCGTTGGGAATCCTCCGCGCCCGTTTGCGATACAGATAGGAGTTTGTGCTGGTGGGGTTGGGGGTCCTGGGCTAGGGGAAGCCTGCTCTTTCTTTGGAGAATGTTTTATAAACTTGCATCCCCAGAGCCTGGGGACAGCGTGTGCGGGTCGGGGTGCAGGGACCCCAAATTGTCATTTTTGCCAGCAAAAGCAACTGCAGTGAACTCCAGCAGGTGGTGGAGTCGGGGGTTGGAACTGGATGAGCTTTAAGATCCCTTCCAACCCAAATTCTGGGGTTCTTTGGTTCCCCCGCGAGAGAACCGGTCACATAGGAGGAGAGGCTCTCTGCCCCTTGTGTCTGTTTGCCTGTATATTCATTTTTAGTCTCTGGATTTAAGGAAAAACAGAGGAAACTGTGATGTTCGAGGAAGAGTCGTCCTGTGCGTGCTGTTCAGTTCACACTCACCAGTGAGACTCCGTAGTGCTGTAGCAGCAGTGAGCAGTCCGTGTCCTGTCATCCGTGGTCCGTGTAGCAGTGGGGAGTCCCTGCACTCTGGATAAAGCAGGGAGAACTCGGCCTTGGCCCTTCAGTGCCTTATCACAAAGTGCACGGATCCGCCGGCGCGGCGGGGGCAGCTCAGGACTCGCAATGGCCTTAGGGGGACACGGGGACAGGGACGGGGGCGCGGGGGGCGGGGGGCTGGGGACCGGTGCCAATCGATGCCGAAGTGACCTCGCCATTCCCACGGGGAAAGGCAGGGAAGGAGGAAGTGCCTGGATGAACGTGGGCCGTGGGGAGCACCCCGCGGCCGACCTCAGAGAGGGAGGACTTCAGGGACATGACGTAGAGTGGGATTTTACAAAGATTGTATTCTTATATCCCTGTGAGCGTTGGGGGCTGGAGCAGCCTGCTCTGCTGGGAGGTGGCCCTGCCGTGGCAGGGGGGAGCAGAGGAGCTTTAGGGTCCCTTCCCACCCAGTCCAGGCTGGGGTTCCATGGTCACAGACCAGGCACGCCCTGCCCCATCCCAGTCTGCAGCCAGGGCTCGCTGAGCCGTCGATGTCTCATAGGAACCAAATTTTCCATGAAGGTCGAGGGCCTCTCCAGCCCTCGTGTCCGAGGGAAGGCTGGGAGGGTTGGGAACGCCCCACCTCCAGCCCCCTGCCCACAGCAGAGGCAGCGATGGGTCATTACTCTATTTTGTATATTAAACAAAAAGATATATACTGGGGACAAATCCTATATCATACCAGTGTATGGCATTATAAAAAAAAAAATCATTATTTTTATCACAGCAATTTTAAACAGCATTAAAAAGAAATTAAACCAGTGACTCCTGTTTAAAAATAAAAGTTGTAGTTTTTTATTCATGCTGAATAATTCTGTAGTAACAAGTCTGTAGTTTTCACCTACTCAGTGAAATGTTGGACTGTAAAAGCTTGTGTGGAATTGTTGAACATTTATTTTTTCATTTAAATTTGCTGTTCTGGTAATACAAAGCCACACATCTGTACAGAAGTTGCAGTAAATGTGAGCCATTTACAGCAATGCCGAATAATGGACAGAAACCATATAATAAAATTCTGCTTTTTTCATTAAATGGCTCCAAAATGCTTTTGTGGAGTTTTTGTTGTGGTCTTGGAGAGGGTTGGGTCTGACATGGCAGGGGAGGGACTCTGGGAGTTTATGGTCCCTTCCAACCTCAATCCCTCCTTAATTCTATGATTTTAAATGGATTTTGCCACTGCAGTGGTTCCCAGCTGTCTGATACTCATCAGAATGTGATAAAAGCTGCCTCCCAAGGCAGGTGCCAGCTGCCAAACATTAGTGATGGAGGGAAATAAAATGCACTGAAAGCCTGGGGGCCAGGGCAGGGGGTGGGTGCTGGGGGCTGAGCTGCCCTGGCTCCTGTGCAGGGACAGAATTGAGCCCAGGAAAAAGGACTTGGTAGATCAGCAGGGCTGAAAGGAGCCTCTGGCTGTGAGGATGCTGCACTCGGGCTCAGGAGGCCTCAGGCTGGAGCAGAAGATGCTGCCCTGGAGCTCCTTCCCTGCCCTGCTGGAGTTTTGGGTGTCTCCAGCCCCTCAAACCGCCGCGGTTTTCCCCCAGCACAGCTCAGCCTTCCCCGCGCCACGGAGCGAGCCTGCTGTAATAAAATCTCATTTAACTGCAGCAGAAAAGGCCGAGTTCCCAGCAGGGAATGATTTCTTTGAATTGTTTGCAATTAAAACAAAGCTTACATAAATTTCCCTTCGGTAATTCCCAAGCTGGATGGCTGCAGATGGGGTCAGAGGCAAGGCAAGGATGGGATTTACGATAACCACGTTTATTCAGGCTGCAGTTATGGAAAGATGCTTTAAGGAGAGCCATAAGGCACTCAGATAAAGAGCTGCTCAGAGCCTCACGGGCTCCAGCCTCATGGTGAGTGCATCAAGCCCTCAGTGTGGCCACATTCCACCCAAAATCCCCTTTTGTCCCATTCAATTTACAAAATTATTGATAGCAGAAGCATCTGTGGCCAGGATCCAATTCCCTATGGGATTTCTGCCCCTTCCCTCTGCACCCTGCCGTGCCCCATGGGCCTTCAATATTTACACTTTTTTAAATTTTGAAATGTCCATGTACTATATATTTATATAATATATTTTCAGGATCACCGATAACTGAAGATGTCAGTAACCCTGCTAAGGAAATGCACCAAACCTGCTGGAGCCTGGCAGGAGCCAGGGCTGGGACACGGCTCTGCCCTCCCTCACTGCCACCCTGTTCTGCTGTGGTTTGCTGTCTTGGGCTCCATCCTCAGCTCCCAAGAAACTCGGATGGAGCCCAGCATGTGCTTGCAATGCACGATTTCTGCTGTGTTCACATTATCAGCCAAATGATGGCATTTCAGGCTGCTTAGGAAAAGATGCCATTAAATGCCATTTTTACAGCTCTGACATTTAGGATTTGAGCTTTGGAGTCCGTGTTTGCCCCGGGATGTCCCCAGTGGGCTGGTTTATCCCTGGCTGTGTCCCCTCTGCAGCGTGAGCTGTGTGGAGCTCTGGGCACACGGAGCTGTTCCGTGTCAGGCACAGATCCTGGGCTTTTACAGAATAAAACACTCCTTGGCTGTATATTACTGCCTATCCCAAAGGGGCTCCCAGATGCTCTCTGCTCTTGCCAAAATAAAACACTCCTTGGCTGTGTATTACTGCCTATCCCAAAGGGGCTCCCAGATGCTCTCTGCTCTCGCCAAGCTCCTGCCAGGCTCCAGCAAGTTTGGTGCATTTCCTTAGCAGGGCTACTGATAACTTCAATTATTGGTGATCCTGAAAATACATTATATAAATATATAATACATAGTACATGGACATTTCAAAATAAAACAAAAAGTGTAAATATTGAACTTGTCAAAGTCTGGCTGGAGGAGCAGCACCATCAGAAGGGAGTGCACTGATGTCCAGTGCCTCAGCCCAGGGGTCAGCTGATAAAATCCAGCCTGGAGGGGGGGTGGCAGTAAATAGCCTTATCCAATCCATCACAGGCCTGGCACAGCTCCAGGGCACAATGAAGGATATTCTCTGAGGTCACAGCAGGGAACCTTAGGTTAAAAAATAACAGCTAAGTGAATACTTCTAATTACGGGATCTGTTGATTTGAGATCAAACCACATCAAAAGGCTGGGGCAGAAGTGCTGAGGCAGCACCAGATGTGGGCACTGACTGTGCTCCTGAGCAGGAGATGGGGTGACACATCCTGCTGAGGAAGGTGACCTGGGGGATGAGTCCCAAGGAGCAGAGCATGGAGGGGAAATCATCTCCAGGGGCTGGGCACGGGGAGCTGCATCCCTGAGGGCAAACAGGGGGACAGGCAGTGACACGGGGCAGGGGGGCTGCTCTGCCACCCTGCCACCCTGGGCTCCTGTCCCGGCCCCAGCACACGCCCATCTGGGCTCCTGCAAGAACAAACCCAGAATCAAAAGCCAGCGTTTTTAATTCCTCATTTCTCCCCTAGCCTTTTCCTTTCCCCCCTTTTTGGCTGCAGGCAGGGTTCCTCCAGCTGGCTGCACAGAGCTGCACGTGCTCCCACCCCAAACAAACACAGCGCTGGCCTGCCAGCCCCAAACACAGCAACTACTAAAAATAATTGTGAACAATCCACCCAGGCCAGCCCAGCCCTTGGCGAGCCCTCGGGATGTGGCTCTGACACCCTCCCCTCCTGCAGCCCCTGCCCAGGACAGGCCGGGGGTCCCTGCTGGGGTCCCGGGGGCTCCTGCTGCCCCTCGGCCACTGCTCTCTGCTGGGTTTGCTCAGCATAATGGGGCTGAAACAGCTCAAAGCTCTCGGGCTAAATATATCCCCGTTGCTGGGGAAATAAATAATAAACAGCAGCGTGATGGGGATGTCATTGGCTCTGCTTGGGCTGGGGCTGCAGCGCTCCGGGTACCACACAGGGCAACAGAACTCAGCAAAAACTCAGCAAAACCAACAACAAGAGTGGCTGAAAAAAATTCCCAGTCAAACCCAAACGTGGCAAAAAATAACCAGCAGTAAAACAGAGGGGAAAGCAGCACGTGCATCTCCCAGGCTCAGAAATATTAATGATAATGGCTGCAGCAAAATTAATGAGCTTTAAAAAGGAACAAAACATCTCCAGGATCTCTGGAGTGGGAAGGGAGGGCAGCTGGGCATGGGGCAGATGGGGCTGTCCCACCCCTGTCCTCTCACCCATGGGGCAGCAGAGGTGGCACTGTCCCAGCCTGGTGTCACCGAGGTGTCACTGCAGTGCCAGCGCGGCTGGGCTGGCTGAGGCACCCGGGCACAACGAGATGGTTTGCTCAAGGGCTGGGGCAGCCCTGGGAAAAGCTCCCTGCTGGCTGCCAGGACAGCAGGGACACGGTGCCATGGGCTGGAAGTGAGCACTGGAGAGGGGCTTTGGACAAGGATGGAGGGACAGCACACAGGGAATGGCTCCCAGTGCCAGAGGGCAGGGATGGATGGGAGATTGGGAACTGGGAATTGTTCCCTGGCAGGGTGGGCAGCCCTGGCACAGGTGCCCAGAGCAGCTGGGGCTGCCCCTGGATCCCTGGCAGTGCCCAAGGCCAGGCTGGACACTGGGGCTGGGAGCAGCCTAGAACAGTGGGAGGTGTCCCTGGGGCAGTGGGAGGTGTCCCTGCCATGGCAGGGTGGCACTGGATGGGCTCTAAGCCCTTTCCAGCCCTTTCCAGCCAGGCAGATGCTCACCCCAGTGGTACCTTCACTGCCAGCCACGTTCCAGCCCATCTGGGGCTCATCCCCAGGGCTCTCCCATCCCCTGTCCCTCCTGCTCTGCTCTTCACCCACAGCTGGCTGTGAGAGAAAACTCTGAGCAATCTGCAGATATTGAATTATCTGATTGCAGGGCAGGGCAGGCCTGGGGGAGCAGCTGATGGGGCTGTGGGGGGCTCCCAGAGGGATGGGGACACGGCAGGGACACAGAAATCCCCCTGTGGAGATGGGATTGCTCCAACTGCCCCCAGCCCCAGCTCCAGCCCCTGCTCTGCCATCCCCACCTAATCCAAGCCAGGCTGGTCTCCGGGGCACCCGGCTCCTGCAGATTTTTCCCTTCCTGCGTGCGTCAGTGAGTTTAGAGCCCAGGTGTGATTTTCTAGACCCTTTTGTCTGAGGTTTAGAAGCAGAATGAGCTTCATTAGCAGGAGGGAGGATTTACAATAAGTAATAGGTAGGTGCTACCTTGTGAGCTGTCAGCCTCGTGCTAAATTACCTGCAAACAATCAGCTCCTCACCCAGAGAACAGAGCTTTAAACAGCTATTTCTCTAAAACCTCTGCTTTTAATCGTTATTTCCCAAAAGCTGAAAATCTGAATTAGCAAATGTACAAACTATAACTGCTTTGAGGTTTCTGGCTCGTTAGGAGTATTAAAGCACCACACACTCACTAACACATCTGTCCAGCCCCGGGCTCTGGCTCTGTGCAGGTGATTTCCCCTTCAGCTGCCCCAGATCCATCCTGTGCTCCACTGGGGCCATGAACCAGGGCTGTGGCCTCTTCTCCAGGACACCAGGACAGGACAGGAGGAGATGGCCTGCAGCATCCCAGCCAACCCCAGTCCAACTGCAAACCCAACCCAACTAATCCAACCACAACCCAACACTGAACCCAACCCAGCTAATCCAACCACAACCCAACACTGAACCCAACACCCAACCCAACCCAACTAATCCAACCACAACCCAACACTGAACCCAGCCCACACCCAACTCAACCCAACTAATCCAACAACCCAACACACTCCCAGACCAAACCCAAATCCAGCCATATCCAAACACGAAACCCAGCCCAACCCAATGCCAAACCCAGCTCAAACCCAAATCCAGCCCAGCCCAACACCAAACCCAGCTCAAAACCAAACCCAGCCCAGCCCAATTAATCCAAATGCCACCAAACCCAACCCAAACTCACAGCGTGTTTGTGGAGCATCAGCCATTGATGTGGAACAGGGCAGGGCTGCACCAAGAGACCCTTCTGAGGTCAGCTCCCACAGCCATCACTGCACCATCTCTTTTTTTTGATTGACCAGGGGCCTCGGGAGAGGCTCTGCTCACTGGCAATGTCACCACCTAGCTTTCATTTCATTTTTACTGGCGAGTTTAATATTAACCATCAAATGCTGTGTCAGGCTGGTTTAAAAAAATATTTCCTACCTTTAATTTCTCTTGGAATAAACCAGTGTTTACTACAGTATTAAAGCTGGCCCAAAATGGGAACATTTAGTAAGCGTTCCAGACAAGTTTTTCTTTTTGGAAAATTTTAATTAAAAAAAAATATTCCACTGGCTCTCCTGTAAGAGCAATAACTTCTGCCTCGGTTTGATTTCCTTTCCTCCAGGAGACATCTCGTAAATACATGTGTGTGGGACTTTTGTTCCCAGAAACTCTCTAGGTAGCACATCCAAGAGCTCCCAAGTGCCTCTGAAAAGGAATTTACTCTGGTCTCAGAGTAACTGGAGTATCCAAGGAGCCGAAGGGGGACCCGCATGGAAAGGTTTTGTGGGGACACGGCGGGAGCAGCGTGGTGCTGCTGCTCACACTGCATTGCTAAGCAGGTCCCCAAATGCCCTGTCCCCAGACAATGCCCAAGTAACAGAGGGCTCCTGGCAGGTTTGCAGGTCCCATTCCTCCCCAGCACCCGCTGTGCTCCAGCAGCACCCCAGGAAGGCAGGAGGAGCACAGGACAGCCACAAACACAAACAGCCCTGACAGAGGAGGTATTAAGGGGTTTTTAAATCCCTTCCATGCCCTCCCCATCCCTGCCCCAGCCCCAGGAGGGGCTCTCACACAGCCCCAGCTCCAGCAGCAGCCACAGAGCGATGCTGGGGCTGGATAAAGCCTGGCCTCAGCCCAAGCCAAGGCTGGATGCAGCCCAGCCCCTTCTGATGCCAGGGCTGGATAAAGCCTGGCCTCATCCTTGGCCTCAGGAAAGCCAAGAAACAGCACAGAAGTTGGCTATAAAACCCAAGGATGGAGATGGACCAGCAGCGTGCTGGGGAAACTCCGGATTTCATCCCTACAAACCCTGGCCCTCTTCATCCAACACCTCAGAGTAGAGACCACGAGGCAGGGTGGGGACCTCACCCCTGCCCAAACCAGCCCGTGAGGGGTCCAGAGTGCTCCCCAAGGGGTCAGAGTGCCATGGAGAGGGGGTGATCCCATGGGAATGAGCTGTGCCACCCACCCTGGAAAGCAGGAAAAAAATTATTGCCTTTTCACTCTTTTCTTCCCCAAGACAAAAGCCCAGGAAGTTTAATTACTGAGGACAAAAACTTGAAGAGGGCTGAAATTTCAGCTCTTCTCTCTAAGTGACACCAGGGAGGGAAGGAGCAGCAGCTCCAGGCTGGGGTCGGGGGCTTTGGAGCCTCTTGGTGACCAGCTTCAAATGTCCTTTGCTTCTCTCCTTACAGCTCTTCTAAAAATATCAAATATAGATATTTTCCTCATAATATTTTAAGATACTCTATTTATACATTAATCCTTTCAAAAATAAAAAGTGACACATAGAGCAATTCAGTCACTCAGAGTCTTTAAAACTGTTACAAAAGCCACGACGCCCATCCCCAGTGCCACGGCCTGGGGCTTGAGACTTCCTTGTTATAAAATACGATTCCAGCTCTCAAAATCCCGGCTCTGCAGCCAGACAGGGCTCTGCCCCCACCCTCCCCCTTCAGAACCACCTGGAACCATGAGGGGTTTGCCTGCCCTGCCAGCCCTGTGGCGTGTCCATGGGGGCAGGAGCCGGGCTGGGGCAGCCCAGGGGCTCCTCCTGGCTCTCCACAGCCCCACCTTGGCCACAGCAGCAGCAAACGGCCCTCGAGGGTGGAAATAATTCACCTGGCACAACCAGCACTGCACAGACTTGGCACGGACGAGCTGCAAGCAAGGGGAGGCCTGGAAAGCAACGCTGGAGAGGGGCAGAGGCAGCTCCAGCAGGGCCTGGTGGGAGCACGGCTGTGTCTGTACAGAGGGATTTGGGAAGGGAGGCACAGACAGCCCAGCAACAGCAGTGGGGTTTGCCTGGGGCTGGCTAGCAGGAGGGCAGCACGGCCTGCTCCCCTCGCACACACCCAGGGCACCCACAACACCCAGATCCTGGAAATAAAAAAGCACAGTTTGAGGGGTTTGGTCCAGAACATCCTCTCTCCACGGAGCAGGAGCCTGCTGAGCCCTGGCAGCCCCGGGGCCTGCAGAGCCCACCCGGGGCTCGCCCTCGCCCGCAAGAGCCAGAGTGCAGTGCCACGGGGAGGGGACAGAGCCAGGGCCACCACGGGGCTCAGCCCCCAGCCTTCCCCTGCCCCACACCTCGGGGTGCTCCCCAGAGCTGTGCTGGGGCAGCAGGAAGCACAGGGAGCACAGCACTCTCCTGGGTGGGACCCTGGGGGCTCCGTGCCAGCCGGGGAATGTCCCCCTGCAGGGAACCCCCCGGGCATTCCCAGCCTGCAGCTCGGCCCCTCGGCTGTCCCTTGGCTGGTTTTCCATCGCTGGGCTCGAAGCACCCCCAGTGGGGCTGGGGGAGTCTCTGCACGTCCCCAGGAGCATCCCTGCAGCCCAGCAGGAGGAGCGGCGACGTCTGATGCACACAAACATCCAGCAGCGGGCACAGGGGTGTCCCCACCCGGTCACACGGTGGCACAGGGGCCTGCAGGACTCGCCATGGATACCATGGAATGCTCAGCAGTGGCTCTGTGCACCCCACAGTTATAGGAACTCCACGTAGTTCTCGGGGATCAGTCCTGTCTTGCCGTTGAGGGTCCCCTCCAGCCAGCCGGGCTCCTGGGATGGGTGAACTGCAGAGACAGGGCAAGGGCAGGGCACACCTGTAACCTTTTTACCCTTTTTAAGAAAGGGAACTAACAGAGTTAAAGGTGATCTTCAAGGTCCCTTCTGACCCAAACCATGCCATGATTGTGTGAACACACAAGGGGCTCTGTCCCTGCCTGCTCCCCGTGGGACTCCTTGGCCTTTCCTTGCCCAAGTGAGCTGCAGCCTCCAAATACTCCCTGGGGCTGCTGGACTGAGGGGAGTGGAGCATTTGGGATAAAAACAGGGCTCAAAACTTCCTCCTGTTGAGCTAAGATCCCTTGGAAGTTGGAGAGAGCGTGGTTAGCTCCATCACAGGGTAAGTGCACATCCCGCCTTGGCCTGGGCCCAGGCTGGGAGGGAAATTGCATTAGGGAACAATCCCAGCGGGAAAGCAAACCCTGCAACCTGACTGTGTGCAACCAGAAACCTGATCAGTCCTCAAAAGCCTTTCTTTATTCAATCAGCTCCCAAAAATTTGCTGATTTTGCAGGAGGCAGGCCAGGGTTACGCCTGCAGGAGAGGAACATCCCCCTCCCACAGTCATGGTGCTCCAGAGCTCCTGCAGCTCTGCAGGTCTGCCCTCACCCCCTCACTCGTGTCTGGGCCAGTGGGACTGCAGCTCTCAAGGTGCCACTGTGCCCACGTGGGTGCTGCTCCCAGTGGGCAGCAGCAGCCCCAAACCCCAGCTGGATCAGCCACGTGCAGCCTCACAGAAACCCAAACCTGGCTCCAGGTACTGCCAAGACCCCTTGGCTGGGGTGTGTAAAGGCCCTGGATCACAGCAAGGCTCCCAGCAAGGCAGGCTGGTCCTACCTCACAGCCCCCAGCCAACGTGAAGCCCGGCTGTGCTGCTGAGTGACTGGAACACGCTGTGTACTTTTTCCCTTGAATAATCCATTGATTTTTATCAGCAAACATAATGTATTTAATTCAAACTTGTTCCCCTCCTGGCTGCTCCGATTCCCACGGGCCCTCAGAGGGGAGACCATGTTTATTTATAAGATGACTATGGAGCTGCTTCGGAGAAGGATTGTCTTTAATTCACATGTATTCATCCTCCTCCCCTTTCTGCTGCATTCGCCTCCATATCCCAGGGCAAAAACAGTGCATGTGGTAGCAGCTTCCCAAATGACAATGCTTAACATTTGAAAGCCAAGAATGACTTGGAAAGTAGTAAAAAGTCTTTTGGTTACGCTGGGATTATGACTAAGCCAGAGCTGCTCAGCTCCGTGGGGCACAAACTCCTGGTGCAGCAAGCACCAAACCCGTGCTCACCAGGGGGGTCTGAGCGAGCAAAGCCCCCCGCTCCAGCGCTCGGATCCACAGGGAAAAAGCACACGTGGCTTTCCCATCTCCTGCACAAAGCATTCCAGCAGCCCCCGGAGCACCTCTGGTGCTGATATCCGGGATCTAATCTGCCCTGCATGAACAGCTCTGGGAATGGCAGAGGCCGGGCAGGCACAGCCCACCAGGGCCTGCCCTGAGCTCACAGGAGGGTGTGCAGGCCAGGGGTGTGCAGGGACAGGGACAGGGATGGGGACAGGACAGGGACAGGGATGGGGACAGGACAGGGACGGGGACAGGGAGAGGGACAGAGAGAGGGACAGGGAAAGGGACAGGGGCAGGATCAGGAGCAGGGAGAGGGACAGGGGTGTGCAGGGACAGGGACAGGGGCAGGCACAGGGACAGGACAGGAGCAGGGACACGGAACGGGAGCAGGGGCAGGGACAGGGACAGGCACAGGGGCAGGGCAGGCTGCAGCACACGGCCGTGCCCGGGGAGCAGCACTCACCGTTGTCGAAGACGGTGCCGGCCGTGAAGGAGAGCTCGGAGTCGTGCTCGGCTTTGCAGGCGTAGAGAGCGCGGGCCTTGCGCAGGGGGGAGCTGCAAGAGAGGGCACGGGCACCGTGGGCACGGGGACAGCCACGCTGTGGGCACAGGGACAGCCACAAACCATGGGCACAGGGCACCATGGGCATGGAGACACACACACCATGGGCACAGGGCACAGTGGGCACAGGGACACAAACACCATGGGCACAGGGCACAGGGACAGCCACACACTGTGGGTAAGGGGCACAGTAGGCACAGGGACACACACACCATGGGCACAGAGCACTGTGGGCACAGGGCACCATGGGCACAGGTACAGCCACACACCATGGGCATAGGGACACACACACTGTGGGCACAGAGACACACACACCATGGGCACAGGTCACCGTGGGATGGGGACACAAACACCATGGGCACAGGGCACAGTGGGCAAAGGGACACAAACACCATGGGCACAAGGACACACACACCATGGGCACAGGGACAGCCACAGACTGTGGGCACAGGGACACACACACCATAGGCACAGGGCACAGTGGGCACAGGGACACACACACCATGGGCACAGGGACACACACACCGTGGGCACAGGGACACACACACCCACCACAGCCCTCACAGTGCCACTCTGCTGGGTTGCTGCTCTGCTGGCACCTCGGATACCCTGCCCCGAGGGAGGGAGACACCAGCAGAGGCTGAAGGCTCTCAGGGATGAGCCACGTTTCACCCCAGTGCAAAGCCCAGTCTGAGCCCAGCTGGACTGGAGCCCACACTGGTGCCCAAACAGCACCAGCCCAAGCCAGGGGTGCCCTCAGCTCCTCTAGGCTGGAGTGTTCTGTGTCTGAGGGGCCACCACTGCCCAGAGGCTGGCACAGAGCAAAGGTGGCAGCAGGTGCTGGCAGGGACCCACTGCCCTGGCCCCTCTGCCAAACCCATCCAAGTGCAGCTGCAGCCACAAGGAGAATTTCACAAGGAAGAATTAGCACTTGGGGAAGGTTATTTCAAAACAGAAAGACAAGCAGGTCTGTGAAGAATTTGCTGCACTTCTTTAGAGCCTGTACCTGAAGGTAAAAAAGATTTAAAAGCCATTAGATTTTGCTGGAAGTGTCAGCATGCCCACGCTGCAGGGGAGGGAATTGGAGCAGGGAGAGCCAGGAATGGAGCAAACTGCTGGCAGAGAGCAGAAAATGAGGGACCTCAGGGCTGCTGAGGCACAGCACAGGCACACAGAGCTGTCCCTGCACCTGGAATCCCCACCCATCCTTCCCAGCTTTGGGCTGGAGGAAAGCTGGGGCACTGCCAGGTTGCAGTGCCAGTGCCAGTGCCAGTGCCAGTGGCAGCCCAGCCAGGCCCTGGCCATTGGGGCAGCCAGACACATCCAGCACTGCTGCTCAGCTGTGACATGGCCAAGGGAAGCGTGGAGTGCCCCAGGAGCTGCTGGGGTGTCACCGTTCTCACATCAGTGGTTTTACCAATTTTTATCTTTCCAAGACTTGAAGTTCCCCTGAGTTCTTCGGGTGAGCCCAGGGAGGCAGCAAGGTTCATGGCAAGAGCAGCTGCCCTTCACACCAAACTCCAAGCCCGGGAGCTGGGAATGGCTTTGGCTTTGCAGCAAAGAGAGCCCCAAAATGAGATCTCTCTTCTCCAAATTCCAGCTGCCTGACACGAGCAGCTCCCAAACACTCAAAAACCAGGATGGGCAAACAATCCTCCCACTCCAGAGGGTCCTTCACTGCGGGAGGCACCGCTCATGTGGAGTGCTTGAGACCACCAGGCGGAAAACAAAAGGGATTTCCAGGCTCACGGTGCACTCAGGGCATGATGGCATCACTGGTGCCAAGGGCACGGGACCCCGGGCAGTGCCTGCTCTGGTGCCAGGCACCCCAGGGCACAGGGGGACCCTAGGGGCTGGCACACAGCTCCCAGACCTGCTGGGAATCCTGTCCTGTTCATCTGCAGCTTCCAGGAAGGGTTTGCCCCAGCGATGCCCAAGGACCTTTAGCCTGGGAGCAGCCTGTGCTACCCAGTGCCCATCACCCTCCTGGGATCCCAGACGAGGCCGTGGCCACAAAACCAGGGGTGGCAGAGCCTTCCAAAGGCTCTGTACTCCTTGCAGTACACTTCTTACCTGTTGCAGAGCAGGGCCAGCACAGCAGTGAGCTGAGCTGAGCCCACAGTGACACCGAGCACAGCTCCTGCTCCCCTCTCCCTCACCTGGGGCTGCAGGCTCCAGCCTGGCTCGGGGTGTTCCAAGGGGCTCTCCTGGGCCAGGAGGCTTTGGAAGCTCCCCCCTTGCTGAGTGCACACAGCTGCGTGGGGAGGGTCCAAGCAGGATGCCAAGGGAAAGGGAAGTGAAGTGGGGGAAACCGGGGAAACTCAACAGAAATAGGAAAAAGCAACAAAAAGCCAAGCGAATCGTGCCACAGACCTGATGGGGGATGAGTCGCTGGACGTAGAGGAGGTGGGCATAGGACTTGATGGCGCAGAGAACATGGGCCAGGACGGTGACAGGGGTGACGTTGGGCTTGGATTCTGAGGGCTGCAAGACATAACCAGAGACCTTATCAAGGTGCAAGCACAGCAACAAACAGCAACCCAGAGACACACGGACGGCAGCCCACGACAGCGAGCGCCCTGGGAGCATCCCCAGCGGGAGACACAGCTGCAGGATGAAGGGCCAAGGCCTTGGCAAGTGCTTCAAGGCTGGGTCTGCATTTGTCTGGACAACAAGAGCTGGATCTTCCAGTTAAACCCCACTGCATTGCCCCGACCTGGCACCCCGTGTGCCACTTACCTGCCTGTGCTTCCCAGAGCTCCCAAAAGAGCTGCTGGAACTCTGGATGTTAATGGTGCCTGCGAGCAGCCTCCACCCCCTGTCTGTCACTTGTGGTGCTCATACATTCAGTGCATAAAACGTCATTGATTTTGTTTTCCATGTTTTACTTCCCTTTTCCCCCTCGTGCTGATTCCTGAAGCCACAGCTGTCAACTGGAGCTGAATCGAGTTACTGAACTGGTAATTGCATACAGAAGTTTTTGGGTCCTTCCAAAGTGTTTGATTCAGGTCACTCTCAAGTTCACCAAAAAGCAAGTATTGTACCAACATACCAGCTTGGTTAATTTACTGCTTCTCTGCTTAGCACTCATTGGCATTCCCTATCCAATTCAGATTAGAAACTCCATCCCTGATAAAACACCAGAAATCTCTCCACACTGCAAATGCCTCTGTAAAAACAAGAAGTTTTGTAAAAGCATCATGACTTATGTTTTCTCTTTGAGAGAAGAACAGTGCCACTGATCAGTACCTCAATGTGATGAGGTGGGGACAGGGCACAACCCCCAGATGTCCCCATCCCTCAGCTGGGAGCTCCTGGGGTGGAGGGAAGGGATTCAGGGAATGGTGGCTCCAGAGCATGTGGGGAACCTCAGCCCTGCAGGAGCTCAGACCAACGTTTAACCTTCCCAGTGTCCCCTGGCTGCCACCACGGGGGGATATTTATGACATGGATGCTTTCCCCTTGGAAATTGGACCATCTCTGCCTAAGGCCAAACTCTTGGCTGGGCTCCTTGCAGGAGCTGTGTCACTGGATTCAACAGACACTGATTAATTCCCTCTGAAATTACAGGCAACACCTTTATTGTGTCAGAAGATTACACAGATAGAGAAATGGATACAGCAGTGAGTGCAGCATGACTTCACCAGAGGCTGGAAAACAGGGAATGCTGTCAGGCAGGCATTCAACGAGATCCTCAACATGTTCTGCTAATAATCATCACTATTTAAACACAATCCTTTAGCATTTCTATCATCAGAACTGTCCATCTTATGAAAAATGAGTTTTTCTTGGTCTTTACCAAACCTGACAGCCATTGGTACTTACCAGATACTCCTTCTATTCCCACCCCAAACAGGGTGTTACCAAGGTCACCAAGTCACCCCATACTGCCAAAATTAACCCTTTAAGCACCAGTTCTTTCAAAGAGATGGCCTAGCAGTTCCCTTCCCCAAGAGGAGCCTGGCCAAGGTGGGACTTGGAGGGGCAAGGACCTGGTGACCAAAATGTGCTGAGCCTGTCCTGCTGAGAGTGACCACAACACCCAGCAGCCCTCCCAGCACTGTGCCTGCAGGCTCGAGTGCAAGAGGCCATGGCACTGCTGTGCCAGCCTGGGATGGGCACTGGGACGTGGCACTGCTGTGCCAGTGTGGGATGGGCACTGGGACATGGCACTGGGGATGGGCACTGGGACATGGCACTGCTGTGCCAGTGAGGGATGGCCACCATGTCTGCCCACTGCTGTGCCAGCCTGGGATGGGCACTGGGACATGGCACTGCTGTGCCAGTGTGGGATGGGCACTGGGACATGGCACTGGGGATGGGCACTGGGACATGGCACTGGTGTGCCAGCCTGGGATGGGCACTGGAACATGGAATTGCTGTGCCAGTGTGGGATGGCCACCATGTCTGATACCAGCCCTGGTCCTCTCCATGCACAAAGGAAGGACAATCCCGTGCCACAGGGCTCCAGGACTGGAATTGCTGCTGCACTTTTGGAGATGCAGTCATGGCAGAAGAATGCAGCTCCCATTTCTCCTCAAGGCGCTGGCATCGCTCCAGACCCGCGCGCCCGCTCCGTGCCTGGCAGCAGGGAATGCACCCAGCAGGATCCCACAGTTACCAGGAAAAAAAGCCTGAAAGAACCAACACTCGGGCCAGCCTCTGCCTAAGAAGTTATCCCTAATTTGGAGCAGGGTTTTGGTGCCTTTGATCCTGATCACAGAAACACTCTGTGCCCAGCAAGCCACGGAGAGAGCGGTCACTGATCACAGCACGTGCACTGGGGTGGGCAGAGCACCCCGTGCCCATCAGGTGCTCACAGAGGAGATGAACACGGTCCTACGGTGACTGAGCTGCTCTGCAAGTCCTTCCAGAACATTTCCTCAAGAAGAGCCCATGGATAGCTCAGTGAGCTGCTGCCCAGCACCGACAGACCTGGGGGATGCTGGCTATGAAGGGTTCACCTCCCTCCCATGAAATACAGGTATTTATT